GGCCTGGGATGTCTAACGATATCGACAACATAACCAAGGCATGTCGGCAATGCCAACGAGAGCTGCCGGCCCAACAAAGAGAAACGATCCGGTATCACGAACCAGCCAGCAGGCCGTTCCAACACCTCTGCGCAGACTTCTGCGAATATGCCGGGCGCCACTTACTGGTCGCGGTCGACCCATTCTCTGGCTGGCTGATTGTTAGCCCGCTCGGCCGCCACGCCACCGCCGCCGACCTCATCAGAGAGTTCCGTGCCATCTTTTGCACGGCTGGGGTGCCGGAGCTCCTGTGGTCGGACGGCGGCCCTCAATTCACATCAAAGGCATTCAAAGCATTTCTCTCCAAATGGGCAGTGACCCGTAAGATGTCTTCGCCACACTACCCGCAGTCAAATGGCCGCGCCGTAGCAGCGGTAAAATACACTGCCAAACTCATCCGCCGGTGCTGGCGGCAAAATCATGCGGACGACGACGCCTGGGTGCGAGGCATGTTGCAACACCGCAACACACCCGGCCCGGACGGCCGATCACCGGCTCAGATCCTCTTCCACGCCCCCGTGCGGGACATGGTGCCGGCTCACCGACGGGCGTTCGCGCCGCGCTGGCAGCAAGAAGCTAATGACGCCGAGCGCGCTGCGGCCGCGGCCGCGCGAGAAAAAGATATCGACGCGCGGTACAACTTCCACGCGCGGGACCTGCCAGTCCTCCGGACTGGGACTCCATTCGCCCTCCAGAATCCAGCCACTGGCCGCTGGGACCGGTACGGCATCATCGCAGAGATCGGCCCCCACCGCCGCTACTTTATCCGCCTGCCCAGCGGCCGGGTGTTGACACGGAACCGGCGTCACATCCGCCAGCGGTACGCCCCCAGCCGGCCGGACGCGGTCGAGCTCTCGCAGCTGCCAGCGGCCGCGCCCCCGGCGCCGGCGGCCGCGGCGGGCAAACCGCCCCCGCCCGAGCCGGCCCCCGCGGGGGATTCGGGACGTCTGAGTGAGCCGACCCCAGGTCCAACCCCGGCTGGAGAGGCGCCGCCCGACGTCTTCCCGGCGCCGCCGCGACGGTCTGCACGGCCTACCCGGCGTCACGAACGTCTAACTGAGACCATGTGACTGAGTGGCCAGGCACACCGTGTGCGGTAGATTTAGCATTTTCTACAGATTTAGCATGCGACCCCGTATTTTCGCACTGTAGTCTCCGCGCTTCGCCGCCGTCTTCTTACCGGCCCGTGATCGCGTCTCCCGCCATACTCGTCATGTCCAATTCTCTAGTGTACACTCATCCCTCGCGTATGAAAAAAATTATGTTCGTCATTCGATCGCGTTCCGCGGGCTGAATGACTGGTGGGGGGATGTGCGAGTACCGAGTACAGCGCGCGAGTAGTAGTATCTAGACCGAACGGTAGATGGCAGAGCGTCTCGCGGAGTACGGAAATACAGTCTAGTTCCGACTGCCGGCTCGTGTGCACCTTCCCGGAGACAGACTCGATTACTAGCTTTTACGATGGGGCATGCAGGGTGCGGAAACGGGATCCCATATTTAGATGCACTAGTTACGGTAGAAAGGAGGAACCACCGCACAATGTTGGAAACGGAGCCCGCCGACTCTGTCATAATTCTACACTGCGAATCTGCGCATCCAACTTCCACTGAGCACAACATAATTCGTAACACGTTCGTTAGGGCTCTGAACAAGTCATCAAGTAGTGAAAAGAGAAGAAAGAGCACAAACAAAATATGGATTGTTACGGACTTAAGGTAGAATGTTGGAAGAAGTAAACGAAAGCCTACAGTGCGTGGGAGGGGGGGGGGGGGGGGGGTGTGATAAGAGACAGAAACACGTCTTAGCGGACGACGGATTCTTATCCTACTTTACATAGATGAGCGTTTGCGTTGGCAAATCAAATACATATATGTATTTGGTTTTCCAAGCGGTTTTCCAATGCAACTGCTCGGATGGAAACTCGAACACATAGTTAAAAGATCAAAACTGCCCGCACACATCGGTTGGATGAACGGCAATTAGCTTAAGTCTCTGACGAAATCTTTTATCTCTAGGTCTAGGTACCCGGGTGGCAACACATGTGATTTATGCAAGTCTGGGTTTCAAGGGGTTTGCACGCCAAAAAACGCTGTTTACGAAATAAAGTGCGAACTGTGTGAAAAGCATGGGAGGTACATAGCCTTTGTCGGGGTAGCACACGCGCCCTATTTGTTTGAGATATGATGAACACCTGCGAGAAGCTAAAAACAAAACGGGGTCCCTTTTCGGAGACCTTTTTGGCAAGACACGGCCAGGGTGAAATCGAGGGAAGTATGCATCCTATGCCCCTTCAAGAGCTCAAAGTCATCTACAAAGCACAGGACCGCCCTGACAGGAAAATAACTGAATCTTTTCGGATAAAAACCGGCGACCGAATCTTAACATACCGGGCTCACTATGGCCGATTATGCGAACGTGATACGCGTCTTGAAGCTTGATGTGATGTGCGCTAGCTCAACATCGTTTACACGTGTAAGTGTTGCGTGGCGCGTGATGTGCAATGCCTGTTCAATTGAAACCATTTGCATGTACAATGGATACATGTGTGCTGTCTGTTCACTTCAACTCGCTCGCATGTTTAAATGAGGCGTGATGCGTAATGCCTTTTTACTTTAATTCGTTTGCATGCACACGTATCCTCGCGTGTTCTTATTCTTACATAAGTACTGCATCGTGGTAATGGTTGGTAATCGCTCTTTCTTTAATCTTCTGAATGTTTGCGTCCTGTAAAAACCGTGGCTTACTGTTTCAAAAAACCTTGAAAAATCGAGTAGGATCGTCAGCAGGCAGTTCTGGATCCACTTCTATTTTTTTATAAGGGCATGTTGCCGAAATACCACCCCACTTATGTATCCATTCCCTCTATTTTTCCCCAGAGGAATAAGACTATTACTATCGTCTCATAATTTAATCAAACTTAATTTCGGCGATGCTCTGACTGATGGTTCTGAATCGAGCAGCAGACGGACGCAATATAACCGTTTCACACATGCAATGATGTACTCTCACGTTAGGTTCTTCAAGCGCCAACAAAACCGTGAATCCCCAAGACCGCTGCAGCCCTGAAATCGCGGAACATATCGTCCAGACCACAAGCCAGGTCCAAACTAACTTAGCGTCGCATGGCTGATACGCATCGGGAAGGGGGTGCGCGATTCGCTAGACGGTGCCCGCCAGATCGAGTAATTGTCCTCCGTTTGTCCACACTGAAACGTCGCTGTAATGCGGAAGCCGTTGGCCGTATCACAGTAAGCTTATAGTCGGCGGCCACACTACAGTTGGCACGTTTGAAGCTACACAACAGTCGGCTAGTCATCAGAAGCCTCAAACCAGACCTTGGTGTATTGACTACGTAGCAGTTCATTAGCATGCAGTGTTCATGACATCCACAACCAATTGGTTACATAACTATCACATCAAAATCACAACTTTCTTGCAAGTTACAGCCGACAACCTTGCTCACGTAAGCTCACGTTACACGCATTTGCGAGGAGCATGATGCGCATAGATGAGACAGTATTAATTCCTACTCCTCGGAGAAAAAAAAACAGGAGAATGGAGATATCTGCCTTTCGTTTCAATAAAGGCATGTTGCTGAAATATCAACGCATCTTTACCTACACTTTCCTGATTTCTCTCCGACGAATAAGGCCATTACTACTGTCTTATCCAACTATCCCGGGTTAAACATGGTACGTTCAAGCAAACTTGCACTAGATACGATTAATAAGAGTGCACTTCTACAGTTGGCATGAATGTGTCTCTCACCTACAACTGACTTTCCCGGTATTCCACGTGGCCTGAGGCAGCGCAGCACGGGAGGGGGGAGGGGCAGAGGGAGAAGTTGCCCCCCCCCCGCCTTCCGGCAGGCAACACGAACATGTCTCCCCCCCCCCCCCAGTTAAATCGGGGCGGCCGCTTTTTCCCGAACTAAAGACATTGTAGCAAAACTAGGCAGGTTATAAAATTCCAGATCAAGGATGTCCCCATGGCTAAGCCAGAGAGCAAGAAGTTGTGTTCAGGAGACCAGTTGCTGCGCCAGGAAGTCCGTTTTCTGGACCATAAGGTTACCCTCGAAAATAAGATAGCTCATACTCAAGATTAGGAGGCTCAAAAAAGCCTTTGATGGCTCGGGAGGCCCTGTTACAAACTAGGAAGGTCTGTGCTGAGTTACGAGACACCCTCTTCTTCCAGGCCCGATTTCTAGAACGAGCGGTCCCTTTCACGCATCAGATAACCGCGGTACTGGGCCACGATGCCCTGCTTTGTGATAACCATGTCGCTTAGTTACATTTGGAGGCCCCTTCATAAATCTGAAGCATCCTGTTCTGAATTCAGGGGCCCCTTTCATGCATGAGATCATTTCTGGAGCAGATGGTGCTGTCTTAGGCCAGGGAGACACCTCGCTCGATAATTAGAAGGCACCTGTTTATGAATTTTCATGTAGGGGGCAGATGCCCACGGTGCTCCTCTCCCTTGAATACCACACTAACCAGGGCCCCCCCCCCCCCATGCCGTTAAGGAGGCTTCCTTTTCTCCAAGATGCCCCCTGGGAAATTCCCCCCCCCCCCCCACACACACAATGAAAACACACGGCACCGCCCCTGCATTCAAACAAACTGAGACCAGATACAGTTTGGTGCCACAGCTGAACACTCAAACAAACTGAGACGAGGTACAGTTTGGCGCCACAGCTGAACATTCAAACAAACTGGGATGAGTTACAGTTAATCAGAGTGCGCTCCTGCCGCTCTGGAAACATGACGGATAATAACTCACAACCGGCTTTTCAGATATTCCACACTATACCTGCAAACAAACCTGCACTACAGACGGCTAATTTGAGTGCGCCTCCACCGTTGTGCGACAAGGGGAAGCAGCCCTCGGCATTCCGGCCGTCTTTGGCGGCCAGACCGCGCGACTAGACACACCAAGGCATGGCTCGGCCCGACGGGCCGTCCTCAGGACGGCGCGCGCCGCCGGTACAAGCGCACGTTCAGCACCAGGGACAGCGTTAGCAGCACGGCTAGCACCAGCGCCACCCAGCCCTCGACGCGCTGGTGCCAACGCAGGTGGAAGATGGTGCGCGCGCGCGGTGCCAGTTCGCCGCCGAGAGTGAAGGCCAGCAAGCCGAGCTGCCTCTTGCTGCCCTCGTTCTGGATCTTAGACAAAACACAGGAGCGATACGTTCCGGCCGACAGGCTATCGCTACACTCTTTGCCGTGGTACGTATGCTCCATGTCGGGGTCGAACGCGCGCACGACACGGTAGCGGCTCAGGTACCGAGTGTAGAGGGCCACGTCTTCGCCGCCCCAGCCGTCCGTGTCCATGTAGGCTCCACTGACGGCCGCGAAGTCGGAGCCGTACTGGCACACCATGCCAAAGCCATAGTCGCGCCAGTTGCCGGTCTCGGGGCCGATGGCGGGCCCCGGTGGCCACTGCCGGCCCTGCTGCAGCGCCTCCTGCAGCTGCGGGTTGAAGCGGCTGAACAAGATCGGGTAGTAGACGCTGCTGCCGCGCGTGGTGTGCAGCCGACACTTCTCCAGCTCCACAGCCGTGAACGTGATGTCCACGTCGCAGAAGAAGAGCAGCGGGTCGGAGGCGGCGGCGGCCACCGCGGCGGCGGCGCCGCGCACCAGCGCCCGGCCGCGCGAGAACGCGCCCGGCTCGACGACGAGGCGCGCGCGCGCCGTATGCTGCCACCGCCGCAGCTCCTCCTCCACCGGACGCGTGCCGTTCGGCCCGTCGGCGAACGCCACAACCGTCAGTCGCACGTTGTCGCCTGTGAAGCCCGCCAGCCGGCGGCAGGCATGGTCAGGCTGTGCGACACAGTGGGCGGGACGGCGCCGAAACACGCGTCGAATCATCGCCACTGAGTGTAAAGCGTCAGTGGCTGTCGGAGTGCTCGCTGCCTACATGTTATCAATATTCAAGCATAACGAGAAGCAAAACAGCTGATTCACAGGTTATTAGAGCACCGAAGAATGTATGCATTCAACATAAAAAGCGTGGTCCTGAACGCAGGCAGATTCAGTCGACGAGGTCGTTGCGGGGGGGGGGGGGGGAGGAGGAGGGAGGGCATATCGGTAATTTATTTTCGAAGATGACGAACCCTCGACCATGATTTTGTTGGATCTGGGTCAGTTTAGTTAGCTATCAGTCGCATCCACGCTTTTGTCTTTTGCACCAGCTCTTCATACAGGGAGTAGCGTTCATGATTGACCATCAGGAATATACCCCAACAAACCCGATAACTTCGTATTAATTTAATTTACTGTGATCACTGCCAGCACAGACCACTCTTCTTACAGGTGAAGTCAGTGTATAAAAATATAACAATACACTGGACCTGTACAGCACACCCTTAATCGACCTACATGTGGGAAAACATTCAATAAAAGTATCTAAATTGATCCCATGAGTCTGACTACACTGGCACTGGCCTACACCCAGCGGCGTGCCGGCGTGCGAACCGGGGGAGGGGCAGAATACCCTCACACTTGTCGAACCCTTAAATATCAGCCTACGGAAACGCATGGGCTGCATCAACTTCAAACAGAGGTTCGGTCCTCCTGCTAAACTGAACGCTCCGACACTTCACCCACATGACCTGCTTCACACGCTTCGCTTCGCTCGCTCCACCTAGCCATGACGCTGTACGGTTCGGAAAACAATTACACGGGGGGACACCAATTGTTCGTAACATGTGGGAGCATGCCGCTTCTGCTTCTACGGCCTTCAACACGCTGCTTTCGCCAACAGCGTTGGAGCATGAGGACGGACAGCGAAGGAGCGGCGGTGCGGTTAGGAGCATGTATGCCCAACAGCAATGTGTGGTGCGTGCCCGCTCCAACCGGCTATATTGGAAGAAACCAATAAATGATACAGATACCTAGATAACAAGTGCTGCCCATCACGCCCAATGCCAGTTTAGTAAGTGCTAAAATATCAGCAGAACAATTCATCAACTGCATTCTACTTTCTTCGGAGGTTCAGAATCCCGCCCAACGGCACGGCGGCCCTCCGCGGAGCGTTCGGAACGAGCCATGGCCTCTGACCCGCCGGTGTCTGCGGACTGTGGAATAGCAGCCCGATCGGCTGATACCACCAGTGGAAGTTACGTATCAGCTTTATCTGTAACCACGAAAGAGTGTGGCCCGTGTTTGGACACCCTTTGGCCACGGCGCATTAATGTTAAGATAGTACTCATCGTACTTCAAGGGAAACACTAGTACCGTGATCTTCTCAAGTGTCATTCCGCTTGCCTGCAATACTCCTGTCGATGGGGCCCGAGGGTAACAAACGGTGTTCACGATAAAAATTTCATAACCATGACGGCATGATTCTCGATCAGTCTCCTTTGAAACTGCCGTCTCGAGTCCGACATGCTGGTCAAACCGGAAGACGGAGAGGAGTGGCACTGGTCTTCTCAAACATACCTGACTATTGGGGGGGGGGGGGGGGGGGGGGGGGGGCGGCGACCGGCGTAGAAGCCCGCGATGCAACCACGAACATAACTCACCAAAGTGACACTGTCTGGACGGTTTCCACGCACTCGGCAACACGCTATAACGGCCCAAACACTGCTGGCGTCCCCACCATCCCAGCCGTGCTCCCCTGAGTGCGAGAACGCCAGGACGGACTGTCACGCACTGCCCTCCCCTACCCTCCAGATTGTGCGGCGGCCCCTACCATCATCGATGAGAGCGCCCAGCATATGCAGGAAAGTCCGGAGCCGTTGGACGCGGCCAGACAGCGGCATCACGATGTGGAGGGGCTGCTGTCGCAACGCCTCGTGCCGTGTCACCGACACCAGCGGCGCCTGGCGGCGGGGCGGGGCAGCTGACCCGGACGGCTCCACAGCGGCCGGGCCGCGCCGGCGAGCCCGCCGCGCAAGCCGCGGACACACGCACGAGCATCACCGAGCCGCGGGCGGCTCTCCGCCGGGCCGGCGGCCGCGGCGCCCGGCATGGCGGGTCGACAGGCACGCGGCGCGCGCTTGCAGACCACGAGACCGCGCGCGCCAGAGGACGCGCCCGCGCGACCAGCCACCACGGCTGACTGGGCGTCGCGACACAGAGCAATGCGCCGCATAAGCCGACAGATCACGAGGCACGGACCATCAAACCACGAGGCGCACCGTCAGGAATGGGCACGGCTCCACAGACCACGCCGCGGATAAACAAAGGCCGACAGACCATGTGACACGGCCACAAGCACAGCGTCCCACATCAGCAGTCTACGGAACACCGTCCCCAGATCACCTTACCGAGTGAAAATGGCCGACTACGCGGTAGGGGAACCATACCACCACAACTCACATTCTGCTATCTTACCAGGTTCTCGTCTAATATAGCGCGGAGAAAGCCTGGCTACACTACGAAAGGCCTGCTCTTATGCCACCCACCAAACTTAAGCCATCATCTGACGCAATTGCTCATCTGCAGTCAAGGCATGATTCAATCACTCTAAATGTCGGTTAACCCTTAGGGTTGGCATGGATCTAGCACACCGAGCATGAGCTGTGGTAAATGGTGGTGTCAGTGCATAACAGAAACAAAAATAAAGAAATTAGCCTCAAAAAACATATCAAACATTCCTGCTAAACTCCTGAGTCTGGATTGGAAAGTCAGTTGTTAATAGCATGTGCACAGCATATAACAACGTAACTACAGCAAATACATGCAACGAATACATATTGCCGAACGTAACATTCCGGTTTGGTTTAACAACGAAAACTCACCCCGACTTTCCTGTACACGCGCGCTGAAAAGACGTCTATGCCATTGCGGAAAACTAGATTGTACTCCTCGCCGACACCTGGCAGGTGGCGGCTTAAGCCGTATTGAAAGTGTCGCTCAGAGATGGCACCACCAGTCACGGGCTGGAAAAAAACGGCAAGGTCAGCATTCATGTCGGGACGCAGAGAGAACCAAGCTGCGTGCTGGACCTGTCGCAATCTCCATTATATGAAAAACCAAGAGCATTCGGCCAGACCGCGTAGTCAAATAAAACTCCCACGTTTGCTGGAGCAGCAACTTACCCCATGTTATTCTCTGCGTACAATCTCAAGGTATCCCTGCACGTACCTTACTCTGCTCCAGCGCCTCGGTAATGATAGCCGCGACGTTGTCCTTCTCCAGCTCCATCAATGGCAGCGCGATAGCGTAAGACGGCCGCACGTCGAGGGTGTAGCGCTTATGGGTCGTGAAGCTCTCAAACGGCACCAGCGCGCTCCTGTGGACAAATGACCGAACCGTGTGATGGGTGGACTCGCAGGCTGTATGTCAGGAACAGCCGATGTCAACAACTCCCTCGACAAAACTCTCGTCGTGAAATGCATCGTGTCTGGTACCACCAACGCGTGTTCAGTCGTTACAATCGTAGGGCTACAATTATACCCATGTCGCCTCAACGCTGTTGCGACTGTTTAAACTGGTCATGTTCTCGTCCAGCGGCGTGTGCCATGAACACTGTTTTGAAGACTTGATGTAGCCGCTGCCACAATTCGCATGCTGCATAAGTCACACATCCACGCTCGCAAAAGTATCGGCGGATTTCTTGACGGAATGCATGTGTATCTGTTGCTCATTTGGGCTCCTATTCCTGGTCAGCTGTGTCTCACAGCGAAACCGCAAAAGTGCAGGGCGGGCCAACAGTGCCGCAAACGTTTTTGAGGCGCGCCCAGCCACCTTCATGCTTGGAGCGCCAGGTAATGAATGTGTATTCCCACAAAACAAAACAACATTGTATGACATACGGACACAAAATAGCGGATCGAAGTAAACTGGATATGAAAGGCGTTATATAGTATAGCAAACCACACATGGTTACCAAAGATCAGTTACGTAAGTTACTTTTCATGCACTCGTCCATTAAAGATGTTTTAAGCTCGGAAACATCCACATATATCTACCAGTGCGTCGTGTTGTGCGCTGAAGAGGAGAATGCTGACAACACTCGGCGAGGAAGTCGCCGGAATGGGCATCTTCCGGCGGGAATAGGATAAAATCACGGCCATATTACGTACAAACGCAGTTGGTGCCATCGCTGCCCCACCTGTCATAACGCGTTCTCCATCCGTGATTGTGCGGTGAGGAATGAGCGAGGTGATGTGGACGCGAACGTTACAGAGTTCTGTGATGAGCCACACCAGTTACGACTGGCACACATGCTCATGTCAAGGCTGGGCTCGCCGATGCGGGGCCCGCGTGCTTATTCCGAAGTTGTATTGCTTGAAAATTAGTCGGCTATCAGTCTGACCCAGGTTGATCAAGCCCCACAATTTCGATGAGACGAAATGAAAGGAACGATTTTCGTGTTAGATGTCCGTAACCACGCCTTTCGAAAAACGCCAACATTTTGGGCGCATACTGACCATACTGAACTGAACACCAGCCTGTATGGTCTGCATAACCGCGGTATTGGCTCTTGCCACCTCATGCTGGATTTAACACGGCTCCGAACAAAGGCGACAGCAGCCTCGGCCCGGCCATATATTGGGGCAGCTGCTGGGTGCTGTTACGATCGCACTGCCTCGCATGCGGCACGTTCGCCTAGACCGTACAGGTCGTTCCACGCCTTCATTTGCTCTGAAGATCGAGATATGACATCAAATCTTAACAAGGCTAAACAAACGCTGATTCATGGCCTGCGTTACAACGTGCGTGGATTACACAGTGCACAAGTCGACTCATGCCTTACCAACACGACTGTCTGTGACTTCCTCCGCCAAGCAGCTTCGGTTCCATGTCGCTGCGACGCCCGGATGGCGAGACCTGCGCCCGTTTGGCCCTGTGGTGTGCTGTGAACGCTTTTGACAACTAGCTTTGCGTTCCCAACGTTAATTCCCTTGGGAGGTCCTGTTCTGCCCACATCACAACGCTATCGGAAAACCGAGCCAGACTAAACGGCTTGCCTGCAAAGTCTCATCATTTATGCGGCGTGACTTGACCAGCCTCTTGATGCAGAATACTGCTTGCAGCTACTACCAGAGATCACCAAGATTTTAGATCTAGACAAAGTAGAGGCCAGATTGGGCTACTCAAGTGGGAAATTAGCTCATTGTTTTAGAAAGCCTTGGTCAGAGAGCCCCATTGTTTGCGATCAATGACTTACCCATTCATATGCATTTGTGAATGCGTATGCGAAGCACCAAGAAACAAAAAAAAAACTCTGTGGCTACGGCGTTTTGCAGCACTTCTTTGACGACCTCACCGCCCATATAACCTGCGCTAAGCCTGTCGAAAAGAATTATAAAGTCACGCGTGAATGCAACCCGCTGGATATCTATCATATATGACTTTTAAATGTCAACGGGGTAAGAATATAAAGACTGGCGCTTCCTCACAGCACATCTTTCTCCAAATACTTCTGGAGGTATGACGCCAATGTCCAATACCATCATCAAAGCGTGTGACTTTTGCAAGGAGGTCATTCAGGGTTATGGCCAAATAAGGTGAAATCTGAAATCTGGCTTCCAACCAGTCTATCATATCATTTTATCAAATCATCTCGCAACTCAAAATAATTGGCTTGTGTTTATTACGATGAATGTGGTCATTAGAATCACAAGGTCAACTCTTGAGAATCCTCAACAACGAGGTCAGTAGAACACTTGCATTACACCAGTACCGTCGTCATAAATGAAGATTGCAGGTGCTAGGTCATCCAACTTCAAGGTCATTGTAGGTACGCCGTGCCTCAAGATGAGATTGCAGTACCCGTGGACGCCCAAGGGCAAATCCAAAGAGGGGGGTATGGGGCAAAGCCCCCCCCCCCCCTTGGGCTCAGAACAGATTCATAGGCTTCAAGGGGCTCAAACTCGTCCGAACAGACGTTGTTTTTTCATGCAAAACCCAACAAGACCGGACGTCTTTGGGCTTCCAGGCGACCAAGAACAGTCGCAAGCGAAAGTGAAGGGTTTACGAGCAGACATAAACAATTCTTCAGTGACTGAGAGGGTGGTGATTGGGAGATCTTAAGATTCATTACGATGTCCAGACGCCCTACGCTGTTCCCGGGAGCCCTACATGTCCACTTGCTGGGTCAATCCAATCGCTAAGGATCGTTCCACATTGCCCTTGATTTCTTTGCATTTGCTCCTAGGGCACTGCGCTGTTGTCGGAGCGCTTTCTGCTGGCATGCAGGGCACCTTTATCGATCAGCGGCCTTCCACGGATTCTTTCCATTCACCCAAAAGGCTCTATACGCTATAACGCATGCGTGTAGAAAGGCTCTAAACACCCCACATGACAATCTGCCGGGTATTCTCGGCTGCCCATGGGCCGTGGTCGGCGTCGGCACCCTCACGACAAGCTCATGGGCCTTCCAACTTCATCTGTGGTCCTTCCAATTCTATGTCACTTGCCTCAGGCCGTACTTGGTGATGGGCTGATGTGTAGGAGTCCAATGTTTTTTTTTTGTTCGAGCATTTTATGCTTGTTGAATTTGCTGTTATATTGTTATTGAAATCCTTTGCTTTGTTTTGTTTCAAAAGCGCTGTGGAGGGGAATTGAAAAGTGCGGCATCAAATTATTGGTGTTGACAATTTGTCATGCTCATAATACTGCCATGAAATTACTATGCTTTAACACTCGCCCGGTTAGCCGGATAGACACCATTCGCTTGGGTGGGGGGTCAATTTGACCCGCCCCCCCCCCCTCTGAGATCACGTGAACTAAGAAAGCTAGCGACACCAAATTTACAGGGTGTCTTGACCCACACGCGAACTCACTTAGGTTACGGTTTCAGCTTCCTAGGTCATGACCTTCAGGTCGAATAAGGTCAAACAAGGTCAAATTCCAGGTTGGTCTCCAAGGCACCCCCAGAACCTAGGCAACTGTCTCTAAGCAAAAGGTCACAAGCCCACTTGAGGTAATTGACCTTGTTTGACCTTTTGAAGGTCACGGTGACCAAAGTGATACAAGACAGCTCTGCGTTTTCATTTGAATAAGCTACAAAGATTACGCTAGGCAGTATGTTCCTACAACCAAACGTTCGACCCGGGACGTCTTAGGCCAATGGCCTGTTCTGACCTCTGAGAAGTCAATTGAAAATGTATAATGCAGTTCCTGCTGTCAATGAATTCGAAATGAGCACCAGACACTATTCCATACAGCAAGCCCTAGAGTAACAAGTCAGGTTGGTTTTGAAATTGGTCTGACATCATACCTGACCTTATTTGCTCATTATTTGCTCGTTATTTGCTCATTCAATATTTGTGGTGCCTAAGAAAGCATGTCAGATACGTATGTCTTCGTCAAACACTCCGTTGTTGTATCAGATTGAACGATTCCCTAGAACTTGCCTTCGCTGAAACCATGGGCTGACTTTGACCTGTCATAGGTCAGCGACCTTACAAGGTACATCTAAAATTTGTATGTCAAACGATCCGCTATGCAATTTTCTACAGCTATGCAAAATGTCGCACGACTACGCCGCGCCGTTCAAAAACCATTCTGGAAAGGCCCTCGGGGGGGGGGGGCGTCAACTTTCCCCCCCCCCCCACCCCCACCCGAGTGCGTGTTAATGTACTTAATGAGTGCGTGTTAATGTTTCACTTTAATGGCCTAAAATGTTAAAACACGAAATAGTTTTGTCAGGGTTCTGATATTACGTCCGTGCCAACTTGAAATAGATGTCTTTGTTTGCTGAAGCATCCGTCACGAGCTCATAAGTTCCGTCCTTTGTGAATTGATTTTTTCACTCCCACGCGGTCTTCTTGCGATGGAATTTTTCACTCCCAACCTAGTTCAAAAGCGATTCTAGCTCCCTTTTAATCCATGACTACAGGATAACGAATTCTCTGAGTGCCTCAACAGCTGAGAGCAGCTGTTGGCTACACGCCGATTAATTTGTACGCGCAATTTCCGAGCCCATTTTTAGCCATCGTCGACGTAGCATACGTCTTTTCCGTTGCCTATTGAATTGTTGACACGAGTTAAAATTGAGCATCACATTGTTAGGATAATCTGAATGCTAGATATTTTGTACCCGTTCATAAAAGCCAGCGCAAAAAAAATGTGCATTAGTCATCGGCCATCAGTTCACCACATCGACTAGCTGACTATTCGTAAATAAGCTAGGAATCAAGTTTATGCCTAATTTTAACGGCATTTAGCATCTAACTTTACTTCATGTTGCCATTTTCCGAAAAACCAAGTTAAGCATTGACAGGATCCACTATGACCTGGAGGAAATGGAAAAGCTCACTGTATGTTCATATGTAGTATGCGTAGTTTTCTAGGGCTGCGTACAATAAGATGGGTTCTTGCATGCCAAATAGCAGATATAGGAATCTTAAAATCGAACGGTCGGAATAAGAGCATCTTTTATGGGGTCTCAACCCTAGAGGAGCCCCATCATGTTTCGTGCCCCTCCACTTCACGAGACCCTGGATCCGCCCCAGTGAACGCCTCTACACCCAGCGTGACCTAGGGCCTCCCATTACGACAGCAGACCCTACACCACGCCAGCAACATGCCAGTGGTGCATGCTTTAACTTCAGCCAACCTTGGTCTGTGGACATATGAAAAGCACGAAGATGTGTTCAAAACGTGGTTTTACCCGCTATGATCCGATCTAACTACTGAAGTGTTGAAACCGCCCGAAAACCCGACAACGTTAATATGCAAATTGCATGCAAAGCCACCACCCAGTTGTCAACACTTGCATCGGCACGTGCGGTGTGAAATCAACAGGGCCATCCTCTCAACCACCGCCCAACCCTCACCCCCCACACTCTACGGCAGGTGGTAAGACCGCAGCAGCTGTCGAAGGTGGCGAGAGGGCAGATTCTAACTTACATATCCTGAAACTTGACGCGATTGAAATCGTTGGCTCCATCCGGCTCTCCATTGAAAGTCATTTGCGGGTAACCTGCGGATTAATGGACAGTTATTGTACAGGTTATCATGCAAGAACACAACATCTACAGCCATTCCAAGCAGTACACATTTACATACGTCTGTGTGGTCAGTTGAATACCACGACGCTCGTATGTGCGTGTGTGGGGGGGGGGGGGCAACTTGGCCCCAATATATCAAAAATCGAGGAAGTTTGAGCCACCAAATTCACAGGATATATAGACCTGTATGTAAACTCACACGCGTCCAATTTTGAGGCACCTAGGTCATGCCTTCGGACCAAATAGGATAAAGCAAAGTCAACCTCCAATTGATGGCAAAGCTTACCCAGCCCTCGTTACGCAATCCTCTTTAACCTAGATAATCTTTAAGAGAAATGTCACTGATGTTCGTTTCAGATTAGTGACCTTATTTGCACTTCAGAAGGTCACAGTGGCCAAAAATCGTGAGTTTCGATTTTTGGAATTCCAACAAGTGTCAAGGACCACGCTAGACGATATGCTCCTAAAAACAAAAGGTTGATCGAGGTTATTCCAGGTCACTGACCTCTACGCACTTCAATGACGTTCAAATAAAACATATTTTGACCTCCCTGTGATCAAGAATTCAAAATGAGCGTCAAGACTACATCAAAAAGCGACATCTCTAGCAAAATGCAGTTCGGTTTTGACCTCGGTCCGACCTTTATACCTGACACAAGATCAACTGAAAAGAAAATATGGTATCCAAATGCTGGTTGTCTAGGAACCGTCTCAAAGATGTTAAGCCCCGACTAACACTACGTTCTCGCATCAGACTGAACAATCACCTGGGAATTCCTTCCACTGACAGCCATGGCCTGAATTTGACCTACCATAGGTCAGCGACCTTACAAGGTACACGACATTTTTAACACGAAAAGATCGGATATTTCATTGATTACGACCCTGCAAAGTTTGGCGTGTAAAAATCTTGGGTCTTGACGGTAGATAGGCTCACTACGATAGCTCTTGACGAAAGTCATCATCAGTGATGAGGAATGGAGGCCCGGCTTGGTAAAACACAGAACAGGACGCCAGAGGATATCCGGTACGGTTAGACTTACTGGGCACGGATTTGGAATCACTTCATCCGTGTGCGAGGACATGCAAACATTAAATCCCTATCCGCACAAGACACACTGTACGGTGCAAGTTCAATATTTGAACAATCCAAAGCACGCGTAAACACTTACCATCACTGAGAAGGAGGCGACGGATAACTAGCAACAGAACGAATACCAGTCCAAGGCCAGCAAGCTTCTTATAATGTAAACGAAAGCTCATGACATCACCTATCGTTCTCACAGCCTGCGTTGCCATCTGAAATCAATCACGACAAATTGTGAGAAGGGTAGGATCAACACATCAGAACCGTTTTCGTTGACAGCAAGGCTCAGGTTTTCTTCCCGTGTCAAACGCAGCTTCCATGACATCAGTGAAAGACCCAGCGAAAAGTCAGGTAGCGTCACAATGGGCCAAAGGCCGTTAATACTCCGGCAAATCACGGTAGCCCCTCCCGTCGCCATGTTACACGGTGTCGCCTCCTTCGCACCCTGGCAGGAAGGTCGGGCACGGCATGAAATCGAGCTCAGCACATTTAATGCCGTCGCAGGCACGCAAGACTATTTGCATGGCGTATGACAACATCGCACACTTTCAATATCCTTATTTTAGCACGCAGAGTTTGATTATTTCATGCCGACAGTTCTTTACAAGCACACTGATATCTGTACCAGTCCAATGGTAGAGCATGTGTTCCTGGCTCCCCACTCCACCCTAACCCGATTCCGTAACGACCCACAGCAGTTGCACCACAAAATGCTGCATTTGACTGGACTCTGCTGTGTTCAGCTGTGTGCGATTATCGGCTGCCACAGAGCACATTTTTTGGGGCTTGTTGGCAGCGTACGCACCAGGTGATGAAAGCTCCACACACAGAGCCCGATAACCATTGGACAGTGTTAAACACGCACGTTACAGATAAGCGGCATACGGTTCGGGTGGTAGAGGCAAGAGTCAATGCGATGGTTCGTGCTGTGCTTGCGCTGAACCCATGACAAGTCAATGCTGCAGCGGTCCGCACAGAGGGCTGGTACCAGCACCGACGCCAAACTCCAATATATTCAAAGCGCTACCTGGCGTCGGCACAATAACCGACATTGCCAGTGCAAGCACCCCTCTGGCACTACCGTCACTGAAACGCTACCGGGTGTTGATCCCCCCTCCCCCCTGCCACGCACTACTAGTACCGCGAACCCAATACAGTCCACTGTTGTAGGTATAATTCGCCTCCGTGGTCTGGAAGAAGATTGCGGATCCATTAGCAGCGGTACTGGGCGCGAGTCTGAGAGCAGACGCATTGCACGGCTGGTCGGGAAAGGTCGGCTAGCAGCTGGCCAGCGAGGGTAGGCCCAGGCTCGGGGTGGCCGCGCCGCCGTACTGTGTAACGCGCTGACTCTTGCACGGACCGATTCGGCGAGGACTATCTTATCAGCTGCGCCGGGCGTTACAACTGAGGTGGAGGAATGCTACAACCTTTGATTGGCAGTTTGTATCCAGGCCATCAGTGCAAACCGTTCGCAATGAACTTTTCAATACATGACGGTACAGGCGCCGTTACCTCTTGCGTAACCCTACCAGCCTCAAATATTAATAACCGTTTTGCTACAATTTTGTGGAAAAAGAAGCCTGCACCCGCTGAGAGATAGGGCGCTACATGTACTCCGCCCTTTATAAAAGCTGCACCTCAGGTGCACGAGACTACGAGCATGCACAAGTGTGGCCTGGCAGGCGCAGTCCATCCGTAGGCTTGGCATGGTTTGCATGCTGGCCCAGCATTAGTACCGGGCGCATACATTAGGGCATCGAGTGTACACAGGGCCATCACTAGCCTACACGGAGAAGGGTGAGCCTATCCTCTCATGTCATTCGCTTATAACGGCACTTTTAACAGGTGTCCAGCTGTCAGTCCGAACACCGTGGCTGGGACGTCCGCCACATGCTTGGTGCCGGCTCCTGGCACTCTGGTTCGGCTAAATTCATCACATCACCGAGGAGACTGGCTCAGACTCGGGCTCGGCATTTCAACAGGCTGTGATCTTAAACCAGAGCGCTGAATCGGGCCTTGCTAATGCCAGCCTTGAGGCTCTTGATTGAAAAACTTGAGGCTCAATGATGCCACAGCATCACGGGTCTCGGAATCGGACATGAGTTATGTTATGACTTCAGATTACTGCTCCTGGAAACAAACCATATTCTTTGCACCGATATCAATCTAGGGTATGGGGAAGACAATTGCTATGGTCGACAGCCTTCAGGCATTAACTATCGTAGGACCATCCGGACCTCGTTTGCCAACTTGAACATCGATGGAGACGCACGAGAGCTGAACTGTCGCAGTTTACCAACCATTGACTACAGCACGCAGTTGCAGCGTCAACTTCAGGTGGCATCGCAGTGGGAGCGGAGTCGGCATTTAAAAGAGGAACAGCTGGGTCGCTGTAAAGGTCAAGGGGCGCCTCAGAAAGTGGAGGAGGGAGCAAACTGACTTTGGAGTACATTATTTTCCTCGCGTCGCCATTTTCACACGTTATAGGGATAATGCTTAGCATTCTCGGTCAGTGTGGGGGGGATATGGCACTCACCAAATCCCCCCCCCCCCCCGTTCATACATAGTATGACGCTGTAAGGGCCGCGTTTTTTCAATGTTACAGGCCATGATGGCGACTATCGGTTGTTACAATCATGAGATCATTGCATTGTTAGAAAAAGACATGCGATGCATTCAAGTGACTCCACTGCATACCAGCTAGACATTATTCTCAAAATGCCTAAACAAGACAGGACTCCAAACAGTGGCCCATCTCCTTGCGTCTTTTCGGACGGCCTAAGTGGAACTTAGTTTTTTCGCCTGACAAAGATTGCAGATAAAACCATTGTGAGCTGCCAGGAGCTGACTTCACGAAAATGACCCAAGGACAATACCAGTGGATTTCAAGTTATATGCATTGAGATGATAGGCCCAACAAAACTAAAATCATTGGGGGCTCGCCGCCACCCCCCCCCCCCCCCCCTCCCCCTGCCAACCCACAGCATGCAGCATGACATCCTGGGGCCTATTGTTGGTGTAAAACCTATTGGCAGTGTGATTTTGTGTGCCTGTGGAGATAGTCCTTTAAGTTTGACATTAAGTTTTCCATTAAACTTTAAAGAGTTAAGTACAGCCGAACCTACTTTGATCTTTTCACAATTCCCAACAAAAGCAGAGAGAAGACGAACAAAAAATTAGCGTTTTCTCCACGGATTGCAAAGCGACCATTTGGATCAAGCTGAAGATGTGATAGAGGCTACCGCTGGGGCGGACTTAAGTTCCACTCTCTGCTGGGGCCGGTGCAGCCTTGAGACCAGTCAGTCACCATGTCATGCGGTCATAAAACTGGAACGGAGCCTTATTGCGACATCAGGCCGTGCGCTATCGTCGCCTCCACCTGAGTCAAGTTGAAAAAGTCGGCCTTTTTGCACATCAACGTCGACAGAGCTAGAACATGACTTGGCACGCTTTCAGCGAAACGAGATTTCATACCTGGCGGTGCCTAGCGATCGATTGTAAAAGTCTAGAATCCAATGTTTGTCTGCATGTATGTATGACGAAGCCTTCGAGTGAGGTATGCCAACGCGCGCTGACGGATCGCACCAGGAATGACACGATGTTGTGCGCCAGCTCTGCGGACGGACTGCCGTGCCGGTCTCGAATTGATCGGTGGCGCGTGGCGCGTACTGCGTACCGTTCGCCGGGCCTCCACAGAGTTCACGTGATCAAGATTACAGAATGTCCATAGCCACGTGTAGCCACGTGCAAAGAATTGGGGCCTCTCAGTGCCGTAAACAGTGAGCTAGCCCACTGAAGTTCAGTAAGTGGAGAGACAGTTACCGGAGCTATCTGACAGTACTCAAGTGAAGATGTTTCATGTGAGATGCTTGCATAGTGCACAGATTTAACCTTTGCACCCCTTTTCTTTGCAGCCCAATGACAGATGCTCAGGGGGCACAGTCTGGTGTGGGAACAAGCTTGCAGATGGATGGGTGGCTTGGTGATCAGTTTCTAAAGAATCCAGCCAGTAAAGGCTGCACTGCACATGTGGGAGGTGACCAAAACATGATACCTCTTTGTCATTTTCACCAACTCACGACTGCCAGAATGGTGAAATTTGGCAGGTAGAACTGTGGCATGCATATTAGTCAATGCTTGACCGTTATGGGACCAGATAGCTTTCAATTACGGCCTAAGGGGTTGTCAAGATCAAGGTGCACCCCTCTGCCGTGAGAAGGGGCTCTCAATTAATCCAAACTTTATGTATATCTTCTCAGACACAATGGCTGCCTGCCTACACCAAGACTGAGGTGATCAAAGTCTACATGTGACCTGTGTGCAAGTTGAACAAAATTGACCTGGGGTTCTTCAAGTTACTTAAGTCATGACCTTCAGACTAGAAAATTGGTAGATAGAGAAATCCTCTCACACACACAGCATCCAATCATGCCACATTCAACTTCCATGTGTTATAGGTGGACACATGCATCACATGTGTATTGTGGTGTGTGTAATATGTGTCCATGCAACAAACACTAAAAATGCCTGGATATAGCACCAAAATCACTTTGAATGATGCAAAACATATCTTAAGATCATTTTTTTTTTGCATGCTGAGTCAGAAGTTCACATTTTGAGCATCATTGCAATTCAGTATGTCAAGAAGTAATAGTTAAATGATGTTGTTAGGCAAGTACAGGCAATGTAAAAAACAACCATTTCAACCTGTGCTTGTAGCCTAAATTTCTGATAAAATGCACACCTTGACATCTTGACTTTTGTCAATATGAACAATCTTGCCTAATGGCATCATAATGAGAACTTGCAGCTTATCAATGAGTTTTTCTTGTTAGAAAAATTGCAGCAAGCTCTGTAGTCCACACAGAAAAATTAATATATATAACATAACCAGTCAATTCCTGAGCATCATACTTCCTTGACACAACATATTCCAAGGGATTTCATAACCAAAGTGCATTTAAACTTTGAAGAATAACAGCAAAAACCAAAATGCACAACCACAGCGGGCTCCAGCATGCTGCCCTCCACCAACGTCAGAAACATGGAGGCACCGATATGTATTTGGCCATACCAAATATCCTTACAGATGCACCACATATTCCTGCATCCTTGTTCCAACTCTACACTAACCAAACATAATAATAAACCATGTTGCATTTGTGCCAAACATTTTGATCACTTTCCTGTGACACCAAAGCTGGGCACAGGATGTTTAAGTTGCATGCTTTGAACAATATGGCCAGTTTTTTGTTGTTGTCTGTATCACAGTTGTTATAAATCCATACAAAATCTGAGGTGAGACCATTTTATCCCCCTCCCCCTTTCCCTCCCTCCATTTAAACATTTCACCATCTAGCTCCAGTGGGCTGCTTGTGTGCCGTAAACACAAACAGCAAAAGCATTCGCAGTCTGAAATGCTTTAAGGATAATAATTTTGCACGAAACACATGCTTCCAATTGCATATTGACATACCTAGCCGCGAACGCCCATCCAGCGACCCTCCTCCTCACTGCCCACATCAAACTGCTATGACGTTTCTCAAGAACAGCAAAACAAATCAATATCGAAACACCTGCGCCAGTTTCCCCTCAAACTTAGAGCTCCCAAATTCTTTCAGCATAGGCCGCGTCAACACATCATCGAGAGTATTTAGTACAGATTAGTACTAAGAGATAATCTATCATGGCAAAGATGATAATAATGTACGACGTCCCTTACTGAATCTTCCCATAATTTGACTGTTTGGTTACCGGACCGGGAGCCTGATGAGACTGGGACCTACTGGCCTAGTGGCATTTCACGATTCCGGATCACCATAAGTTAAGGTAAGGTAAGGTAAGAGGGGAACCCTGTTTAGTACCAATTCATACTAAAAGTGGCGGAGTTTAGCACGTACAGATGCTAAACAGGGCAGCCCGGTAAACCAGGGCTGAACAGAGGGAATGAGGCTGTTTAGAGGTGTTATGTCAGCTACGATGACCGCGCATGTATATTGAGGCCGTCTATATGTTTTGATACGCATGGAAGAGATTTGGCGCGTGTGGTTGCAAGCAGGGACACAGCTTTGGTCATAGCACGAAATGCACATGGAGCTCACAATACCCGCGAGCATTGCCAAACAGTACATCTACTGGATGCTTGTGATCACCGCCGCGCACTCACTGGGGTACTTGAACGGTTCCGGGATCCGCCCACGATTCTCGTGTTTTTCGGAGAAGGCCTCCCTCTGCTGCGACCTCAGGGGACCTCAGGGAGCATCGGCGGCAGCTTCTCCCATCTAACACACACCGCATCGAGGACAGAAGCCTTCCCTTTCTCCGGACATCATCACTCATTCCCGAGACAACGATCACCTTAGCCCCACCCAGCGCCACTTCAACAGACCATACAAAAAAAACATGTGTCACAATTGAGTGTGCTTTCAGCATGCCGAAAAACAAACTGCGCGCGCAGTAGTGGCGCTGGTGTCGCGGATGATGTGTGTGTGTGCGGCGCTCTGGAGCTCGCCATCGTAATTATAAAAAAAAATTCGGAGGTAAGAGCACGAATCTACCTGTTTTGTGATTATTTACGATATGTCCTGCCTTAAACACGACGAATGGTGCACAATGATTTTTCTAACGTTAGGTAGGAAAGTACACCCTGACCTAATTAATCGTAAAACAGGTCATCCATGCTCTTCCCTTGGCACTTAACTAATTACCATACCGAACATCCGACCGCCGCAAACACACAGCAACCGCGACACCAGCGCCATTACTGCGCGCGGTCACAACATTACTGCGTATCAAGCAGCACCAAGAACCATTTAGGTCAGGTTAGGTTCGGTTCGGTTCGGTTCGGTGGGTTGCGTTAGGTTCGGTTAGGTTAGGTTAGGTTAGGTTAGGCTAGGTTAGGTTAGGTCAGGTTAGGTTAGGTTGGGTTAGGTTAGGTTAGCTTAGCTTAGCTTAGCTTAGCTTAGCTTAGGCTCTGGTCTATTCTCGGTTAGACTAGGTTAGGTTAGGTTAGGTTGGTTGGTTGGTTGGTTGGTTGGTTGGTTGGTTGGTTGGTTGGTTGGTTGGTTAGGTTAGGTTAGGTTAGGTTAGGTTAGGTTAGGTTAGGTTAGGTTAGGTTAGGTTAGGTTAGGTTAGGTTAGGTTAGGTTAGGATAGGGTAGGTTAGGTTAGGTTAGGTTAGGTTGGGTTAGGTTAGGTTAGGTTAGGTTAGGTTAGGTTAGGTTAGGTTAGGTTAGGCTAGGCTAGGTTAGGTTAGGTTAGGTTAGGTTAGGTTAGGTTAGGTTAGGTTAGGTTAGGTTAGGTTAGGTTAGGTTAGGTTAAGTTAAGTTAAGTTAAGTTAAGTTAAGTTAAGTTAGGTTAGGTTAGGTTAGGTTAGGTTAGGTAAGGTAAGGTAAGGTAAGGTTAGGTTACGTTAGGTTAGGTCAGGCTAGTTTAGGCTATGTTCTGGACTATTTTTCGGTTCGGTTCGGTGGGTTAGGTTAGGTTAGGTTAGGTTAGGTTAGGTTAGGTTAGGTTAGGTTAGGTTTGGTTAGGTTAGGATATGTTCTGGACTATTCTGGCCTGTGCGTTTCATAAACGTACCTAAACGCGGTGAGAAACTATTTGCGTTGCATTATTATTGTTACCTTGGTCCTGCACATTTTTTAAGGTTCTTGATAAGCAGAAATATTGTAATTACGCCACGACAACGCAGGAACGGCGCTGTTGAGTCGAGGCGGTGCGGTGCGTGCGGCGCTCGGGGGCTCGCTATCGTAGGTATTACAATTCGAAGGTAGGAGCATGATTGTACCTGTTTTGAGATGATTTACGATATGTTCCGCCTTAAACACGACGAATGGTGTACAATGATTTTTTCTAACGTTAGGTAGCAAGGTACACCTATACTATATTTTTAATGCCGCATAACAATCATGCTTACAGGTTACACAGCTGCGAGTTTGTTTACCAACCCATGCCTGTGCAGTCTGGAAATTCAAAATAACCAATCAGATCTATGAAACAAACCAGCTTGCATTACAGAAATACTTTTACTGATATAATGCAGTAACACCGTGGACAAAAGAGTTAAGTGACATGCATATGTGTGCATTTGCGATGAAATCACTAAGTAGGCAATGACTGCTGACATCAGTGTACCTACTGCGCCTCGGCCAGGTATGCCGTCACCTGCAACCCCTGAAGAACTATCATAAAGGGAAATTAAATAAGTCTGACTGATGCATTTTTCGACCACAGTAGTAACTTACTCCATCGCAATAGCGGAGCTCACAAATGTCAGATCTATGGGGCCGAGGAAGCCCCCCGCATCCACCACACCCCATCCGCAAACGCGTCGTTAGCGTTGCTATGCGTTGCTATGTAAATAACCACGAGCTACCGAACTTGCTTTGCCTCTCGGCCAAGTAAGGAATGTGCTTGGGTCGTGACGTCATAGGTAAGTAGGTAGCTACGTCATCCACCGACTGGGCTTACTCGAAGTAAGGAATGGGCTTCCATTTGGTCATGAAGAACGGGTTCCTGGTCGCGTTCGACCTTACCTCACATTACCGTACCTTACGGTGATCGGGAATTTTTTAAAAAGCCACTTGGCCTGTCGGTCCCGGTCTCGCCATGCTCCCGGTCCGGTAACCAGTGTCAAATTATGGATAGACATCATTATGACATTATGGTGTGTATATTACAGTGTGATGTGACATTATGGTGTGGTAGACAGTGGACAATAGACATGGTGTGGGACATCATACATGGTGTTAGCCCAGAGCATATCAAGCCTTGACTTGAACTGTTCAACTGACGTTGACGACAAGACCTGTTGTGGAAGAGCGTTCCAATCGTTGACGACTCGCGCGCTGAACAAGTCATGACGGACAGGTGTGCTAGCTCGAGGTTTTGTCGACCTCCATTGCCTGTCCTCTTGTCACCCCCGACCTGTGCCTCGTCAAAACTTCTCTTCCGACAACGGCGTACCTCCGTGAAACAGCTGTTGTCACCACCAGTCCGGTTCTCTTGGCTCTCCGCTTTTTACACGCACAATGCTAATTGCCATCGATTGCACGAACTAACACGTATGGTTTAAAAGTGACGGACTCAACGGAAGCTGTGGTGAAATGTTGCTAATACTTTCAAAGAAGTCAGTTACATTACACTCATTCAAGTACGTTACTTTACACATTCATACAAATCAATCGCATAGCACATTTTACATCCTGCACATATCTAGTGCACCATGAAGCTGCTCATTCTTGACCGCACGTGACAAACAATTTTGCTTGAATTTTACTTGCTTGGAAGTTTACATCGTGCTACGACTGAACAGAACACCTATCAGTTTGGAGTAACAATAACTTCAGTCACAACACTAACTAATTCAGTCGCAACAGCTGTTACACTGTTATCATGTCTCCTCAGCGACGACGGTAGTACAGCGAGAGTATCTGGAGGAGTCTGAGCCTCTATGTATGGCTGGCGCCTCACTTCATAGACAAGGACGAGTAGCTCGTTGCTGAACCCGCTCCAGCCGCCTCTGGTCCAGTTTGCCAAACGGGTCTCAGATGACGTTGCCATACTCCAAGCACGGACGTACTAAGATCTTAAAGAGCAATGGCGAGGTGCGAGCATAGATGTTGGCAAAAGACCGCCTCACGACCGCCGTTATCTGGTTTGCCGTGAAGATCGCTTCCGCCGTCTGCACGTGGAATTTGAGCCTATAATCCACGAAGATCCCGAAGTCTTTCTCGGTGGATTCAGCCGCGATTTCGATTCTCGGTGGACTCAGCCGCCGTCCAAAAAGTAGGTCAGCCTCGGGTTGCAGTTCCCGATATGTATTACTTTGCCCTCTCCTGCACTAAAGGGGAGCAGCCACTCCGTTCATCACTTGGCCAGGGCGTCGAGGCCAACCTGTAGATGTGAGTTAGTCAGGGGCCTCGGAACATGACAGTAGACCTTGGTGTCATCCGCGTAGATCTTGATCACGCTTCGCACTTGTTCCGGCAGATAAGATTATGAATAACGTTGGTCCAAGCACTGATCCTTGCGGGATCCCACTGATAACGTCGGTTCAGTCCGACTTCGAGCCCTGGACCCGCACTTTCTGCATCCGGTGAGTAGGAAAAGCCCTAATTCAGCGTAACAAATTACCTCTCACACCGCATGCATGAAGCTTGGAGAGCAGACGGTTATGAGGCACAAAATCAAAGGCGTAGCTAAAGTCCAGGTACGCCACGTCCACCGGCTCTCCATCCTCTACCGCGGCGCTCCAACCTTCCATGACCTCTAATAGCTGGGTGATACAGGATCGCTGTGGGAGAAACCATGCTGGGCTGCATGAAGAAGTGCACACTTCGAGAAGTGATTAAGTATGGCATCACGGACGAAAGATTCGAATATCTTGGAGAGAGTGAAAGTAGACTCACGGGGCGGTAGCTCGCTGGGGACTGTTGGTTACCTTTCTTAAAGATCCAGGCTACCTCGCCAAGATTCCACTCCTGAGGGAGCCTTCCGGGTGCCAAATATTTTCAGAAAA